AGTAGTAGTAGTAGTAGTAGTAGTAGTAGTAGTAGTCGTAGTAGTAGTAGTAGTAGTAGTAGTAGTAGTAGTAGTAGTAGTTGTAGTAGTAGTAGTAGTGGTACTAGAGAGTTGCGATCGGGAACTTTCGCGTTGCGTGTCGCCATTTTTTGATCCGCCACGCGTCGGCGCGACACGCTAGCCATTGCCAAAGCACCAACCCTTACCGCCCCAAGTTTTCCGCAGGCTCCCGTCCTGCTAAGCGGAGCGACGCGCTATCTGCTTCCAAGGCATATCTTGTCGCCGAGGCCGCCGCCACGGCATGAAGCTGACGTAGTTAACCGTAGTAGCAGTATCAGTACTGGAAGAAGCAGTAGGAGCTGTAGTAAGGTTAGCCAGGTCGGGCGAGTCAGATACGTGCGCCAGGTGCGCCAGTGGCGCAGGTACATGTTTGCCATGTGTGTCAGCGCCAGGTGCGTCAGGTGCACCAGTCGCGCAATGTTCACCACGTGAGCAAGGTGCGCTGCGAAGGGTGCCAGGTGCTCCACGTGCGCTAGGTGCATCACTGGCGCAAGTGAGAGTACAACTGTGGGCACGAGTAGGAGCAGGAGTAAGCGCAACATAGTGGTCCGAGTTGCCGAGGTCGAGCGAGTCAGCGGGCTTCGAGTTACATAGTGGGCCGAGTTACCCCGCATTTGACGATACGAGTGAGGGTGCGGGCGCGGGGTGGGTCGCGGGTGGGTCGCGCGCGGGTCGCGGGGGGGTCGTGGGGTGAGTCGCGGGGGGGTCGCGGGGGGTCGCGGGGGGGTCGCGGGTGGGTCGCGGGCGGGTCGCGGGTGGGTCTTGGGTGGGTCGCGGGGTGAGTCGCGGGTGGGTCGGCTGATCGCGGGTAGGTCGCGGGTGGGTCGCGGGCGCATGTGGGTCGCGGGCCAGGTCGCGAGTGGGACGACGAGGACGACGACAACAACAACAATCATTTGAATCTTGCTTTTCTCGCGTGTCATTCAGCAAGAGTAACCCATACCATGGATAGCCGCCCTCTCCATCTGGAATCGTACCCCCTCTGGAGGTATACCTCCCGTGCCTGCCATGTGTGGTTGGCGCAGCCGTTCAAACAGGGGAAGGGAGGAGGGGAGAGACAAGGGTGATGGAGAAAGGTGGAGCATGAGAGAGATTTGCAGGAGAGGGTTCAGGAGGAGGAGTACAATCAGCAGAGCCAGACGGGCGGGTCGGGCGGGCGGACCCCGCTGCGGCCGCCGCCGACGTCGCCGCCGACGTCGCCCTCCGAGCGCCTTGTCCTTGTCCTCCTTTTCCTTCTTCTCATTCCTCCTCCTGCCTGCCCCGCCTCCTCCCCCTCATCATCCCATGCGGCCCCATTTGCTGATCGGGGGCTTGCGCGTATCTTGAGGCCTCATCTTGGGGCATCCTGCGGCATCTGATAGCATACCGGATTGGGGCCGCGTCGGTGGCATCGTGGGCTTTCCTGGGAGCATGTGGGGGCTCCTGGGCATATTGTTGGGCATCTCGGGCCCCTGGCGCACCTTCGGGCGGCTTTTAGCTCCCTCGGGGGGTCTGGGGTCCTCCGGGACGCTGCTACAGAGACGTTGGGCCCACAGGCGGCACAGGTGTGCTTCCGTTGAGGCATTTCGAGGCGTGGCAGCGACGCGTGGCACTCGCGTGAGACAAGCTGCTGGCTTGCACCAGGAGCGTGTAGCATGAGAGCCCATAGCTTCCGCCATGACTGCGCGAACTAGCGTGTAGCAGCTCCCCGATCTCGGACGCACCGTTCTCGCTTCAAAGGTTGGGCCCGAGGAGCTCTCGACTCCATCCCCTGAGCCAGTTTTCCGCCTCGGGTGTTTTTTTCCTGGTCCTGGGGCGTGCCGTCTCCTCCCCCTCCTCCTCCTTATCCACCTGCTCCTCCTCCATCTCCTCCATCTCCTTCTCCGCCACCTGCTGCTCCTCCTTCCTCCTTGCGGGTACGCCGTCTCCTCCTCCTTCCTCCTCCTTCCTTCCTCTTTCCTCTTTCCTCCTGCCTCCTCCTGCCTCCTCCTTCCTCCTCCTCCTCCTCCTCCTGCTGCTCCTGCTCCTCTTCCTCCTCCTCCTCCTCCTCTTTCCTCCTCCTCCTCCTCCTCCTCCTCCTCCTCCTCCTCCTCCTCCTCCCCTTTCTCCATCATCAGCTCTTAGCCCTCTATCACTCCCGTCCCCTTTCCTGCTTCACTGCCTGGCGCCACGATTGCACCACCCCTTCCCGCCCCGCTTTCATCATCTCCGATGCAGTTCCCTCCCCTGTCCCCCAAACCCCTACAGCCTGGACCGGTTGCAGAGGACAGCCGATAAGGCACCATATTCTTCCGAGGGCAACCCTTGCTCCAGACATTGAAACGGACACGACACGCGACTGACAGGATACAATGGCGCCCTCGATTTTGTGGAGCGGGGCCGACTTACGAAGCAGACCCGACAGTACCTTGCACCTGCTCCGCACAGGCGGCGTCACCACGACGACGCGCTGAGAGGGCGCTGGTGGCGGCTGGGCTGCGCGGGATGGGTGGGGCAGGAGGTCGAGGAGGTCGGCGCAGTGCAGCTCGCCCCAGCGGTCTGGGGCGCCCTCCCTACGCTCCTGCCGGTCTTTCTGTCCTGCGAGGCGTGGCGGCGGGGGCGCCATCACAGCAGACGTCAAGGTGCAAACCGCTGCAAGGCCAGCAGCCCTCCTGGAAGTGCTTCCAGCGCTGCCGCTGCCGGCGCGCCCGCCTGGTGCGGGGGGGGCACTCGACCGCGCGGAGCTCCACGGAGTGGCCGTGCCGATGTAGAACGCGCTGCCGCACGTCCGCGTGCAAGTCCACCGCCAGCTGGTGCTGGCACTGGACGGCGGGACGCAGGAGAGCGCCGGCTCCACGTCCGCTCCCCAGACATGCGACGTCCTGACGTTTTCAATGTGGGGCCCCTGGAAGTCCCGACCCCTTTCCCTGGGAACGGCTTTCAGCATCCCGAGCCGTTGTTTCACGGTCCCGAGGCCCGGCGAGGGCCCCCAGAGGCCGAAATGGGTCAACAACCTCCCGTCCTGATCTTGCAACGACGCGATCATGCCTGGGGACGACACCACGCGCAGCCTTTGATCAGGAGGGGAAAAACACACTGACACAATCAATCGTCGATCCCCCAGAAAATATGGGAAAATATGGGAAGTGGGGGGGGAGACAAAGACCCAGAAGAGATGGGAAACTATGGTGACTCCTCTTCTTTGTGTGCATTTATTTGTGTGTCCCAGGCAGGGCCCCTTCATTGGAGGGCACCAGGCCGAGCCCGCGGGCCCGGTGCCCTCCCTTGGAGGCGAGCGCCCAGGCGCGCAGGCCCGCCGGGAGCCCCAGGCGCCTGCGCGGCGCTCCCGGGGGGCGGGGCCCTCGGGGGAGGCCCGCCGGCCGCCTCCGCCCGCGCAGCCCCCGATGCTGTTCTGCCCACAGCAGGGGCCCGCCTCCGATGCGCTTCTCCTGCGCCTTACCCCGTCTTCATCCCCCGCTCCTGGCCCTCCCTGCCGCCACCGCCGTCGTCGCTGCCGTCGTTGCCGCCGCCACCGTCCTCGTCGTCGTGGCCGCCGTCGCCGCCGTCGTCGTCGCAGTCGCCGTCGCCTCGTCGCCGCCGCCACCGTGGTCACGGCGGCGTCCGTCGTCGGCGGCGGCGGTAGCGGCGTCCGCTGGCGACGACCACGACGACGCCGTCGACGACTGTGGCGGCCGCGACGACAACTGCCATCGTGACCACGTCGGCGTCACTGGCGCCGGTGCCAGGCGCGGACGCCCGCCAGACGGGGGACGCAGTCGTCGCAGAGCAGCGGGGCGACGCCCGATCGCGCCTTTGGCGCCCCAAGGGTGGGGGGGAGGGCCGGCTCGAGGGTGCCCTCGAGGCGCATCGGGTGGAATTAGGTGGAGGACGAGGAGAGGGGAGGGGGGAAAGGTGACGGGGGATGGGGGGGAGGAGGAGGAGGAGGAGGAGGAGGAGGAGGAGGAGGAGGAGGAGGAGGAGGAGGAGGATAAGAGTCAGTGATGAGGATGAGGATGATGATGCTGATGATGATGATGATATGATGATGATGATGAATGATGATGATGATGATGATGATATGATGATGATGAGGATGATGAGGATGATGAGGATGATGAGGATGATGAGGAGGAGAAGGAGGAGGAGGAGGAGGAGGAGAAGGAGGAGGAGGAGGAGGAGGAGGAGGAGGCAGGAGGAGGTGGAGGAGGAGGAGGAGGAGGAGGAGAAGAATCAGGAGGAGGAGGAAAAGGTGGAGGAGGCTGTCGAACTTCGGTCTACGATCGAATGTCCGCGGCAGGTTATTTCGTAAGATGCCTATCCAGACTTTTCCCCAATCTTGCTTTGCGAAAGAAGTTCCTGCCAAGAAGCCGGTGTGCCCGGGGCCCTTCCCCGCTGGCGTTCCCCGTGGTTGTCCAGGGTTGCCCGGTGTTGCGCGGGGTTGCCTGGGGTGGCCCAGCGTTCCCAAGGTCTCCGCGCAGTTGCCCGGGGTTGCCCAGGGTTGCCCGCGCATTGCTCAGCAATGCCGAGCGATGCCAAGCAGTGCCGAGCAACGCCAAGCAGCGTCAAGCACCGTATATCAGTGCAGAGCAATGCCAAGCACTGCTGAGCAGTGCCAAGCCATGCCACGCACTGCCATGCAATGCCAAGCGATGCCAAGCAACGCCAAGCAATGCCAAGCAATGCCAAGCACTGCCACGCAATGCAAAGCAATTCCAAGCGCTGCCAAGGAATGCCAAGCAATGCCGAGCACTGCCAATCAGTTCCAACGAATCAGTGCCAAGCCACGCCAAGGAATGCCACGCAATGCAAAGCAATGCCACGGAATGCCGAGCAAGGCTTTGCATTGCATTGTATAGCCAGGCACTGCTCACAGCTGTTTTGAAGTGCTTTTGAAGGACAACATGCTGTTGCGATGTAGTGTAACGTGGAGTATCGAAGCGATAGGCATCCCACCGGAACATGGAGTAGCATGCAGTGTGTTGTGCAACGCGACGAAGTGCGGTGCAATGCGATACGATGCGATGCGAGCGCACGCCTGTGCGTGCTTGCATGCATGTGTGCACGCAGTCGACGGCGCGGGACTGGAAACCATACAACACGTTCAAACAGGGTGTTGTGCTCGGGTGTGCGTGGCGATCGTTAAACAAAAAATTGTTTTGCCGATCGGCGCGGACCCTCGCACCCCCCCTTTCCCCCCCCTCATGGAGTAGATCTTGGCTGTTTTTGGCGCCTGTTGCGAGCAGGTGGAGTCTTCCCCCCATAGGACGCACTGCTGCAAGCATCCGCACTAAGCAGAGCTCCGGAGCCAGACCCCCCCCTCCCCCCCTTCCGCCCGATGTCGAAACGCCGAATAAAAAAAGAAACGCTCGCGTGCGGATCCTTGCTCGCGCGGGAACGTCGCTTTTTACGCCAACTTGTGGCCCCAGGTACCCTTTGGTTTGTGCGCCCTATTGCAGGTACGCCGCTCAGCGCCTCCAAGAGCCCGGCGGGCGTCGATGCCACACCCCCGAGGAGGGACAACGCGGCGGGGAGCCCCGGCAAGCGCCTCGAGGCTACCTGCTCAGCCGCGACCTGCGGCTGCCGCCGCCGCCGCCACCCCCGCCGTCGTCGTCGTCGTCGTCGTCGTCGTCGTCGTCGTCGTCGTCGTCGTCGTCGTCGTCGTCGCCGTTGTCGTCGTCGTCGTCGTCGTCGTCGTCGTCGTCGTCGTCGTCCTCCTGGTCGTCGTCGTCGTCTTCGTCGTCGTGTTCGTCGTCGTCGTCGGCGTTAGCGTCGGCGTCGGCGTCGGCGTCGACGTCGTTGTCGTTGTCGGCGTGGGCGGGGCCGTGGTCGTCGTCGTCGCCGTCGGTATGGCCACCGTCGTCGGCGTTGTCGTCGTCGTCGTCGTTGTCGTGCACGGTGCCGTCTTCGTCGTCGACGTCGTCGTCTTCGTCGTCGTCGTTGTCGTCGTGTTCTGCGTCGTTGTCGTCGGCGTTGGCGTCGGTGTTTGCGTCGGCGTCGACGTCGTTGTCGCTGGCGGCGTGGGCGACGCCGTCGTCGTCGTCGTCGTCGTCGTCGTCGTCGTCGTCGTCGTCGTCGTCGTCATCGTCGTCGTCGTTATGGCCACCGTCGTCGGCGTTGTCGTCGTCGTCGTCGTCGTCGTCGTTTTCGTCTACGAAGCCGTCTCTGTCGTCGACGTCGTTGTCTTCGTCGTCGTCGTCGTTGTCGTCGTGTTCGTCGTCGTCCTCGTCGGCGTTGGCGTAAGCGTCGGCGTCGGCGTCGTCGTCGTCGTTGTCGTCGTGGGTGGGGCCGTCGTCGTCGTCGTCGTCGTTGTCGTCGTCGTCGGGATCGTCGTTGTCGTCGTCGTCGTCGTCGTCGTCGTTGTCGTCCACGGTGCCGTCTTCGTCGTCGCCGTCGTCGTCTTCGTCGTCGTTATGGCCACCGTCGTCGGCGTTGTCGGCGTCGGTGTCGGCGTCGTCGTTGTCGTCCACGGTGCCGTCTTCGTCGTCGACGTCGTCTTTGTCGTCGTCGACGTCGTCGTCTTCGTCGTCGTCGTCGTCGTGTTCGTCGTCTTCGTCGTCGGCGTTGGCGTCGTCTTCGGCGTTGGCGTCGGCGTCGGCGTCGGCGTCGTTGTCGTTGTCGGCGTGGGCGGGGCCGTCGTCGTCGTCGTCGTCGTCGTCGTCGTCGTCCTGGTCGTCGTCGTCGTCGTCGTCGTGTTTGTCGCCGTCGTCGTCGTTATGGCCACCGTCGTCGTCGTCGTCGTCGTCGTCGTCGTCGTCGTCGTCGTCGTCGTCGTCGTCATTGTCGTAGTCGTCGTTGTCGTCCAGGGTGCCGTCGTCGTCGTCGTCGTCGTCGTCGTCGGCATCGTCGTTGTCGTCGTCGTCGTCGTCGTCTTTTGCGTTGGCGTCGGCGCCGGCGTCGACGTCGTTGTCGTTGTCGGCGGTGGGGTCCGTCGTCGTCGTCGTCGTCGTCGTCGTCGTCGTCGTCGTCGTTATGGCCACCGTCGGCGTTGTCGTCGTCGTCGTCGTGGTGATGGTCCACGGTGCCGTCGTCGTCGTCGTCGTCGTCGTCGTCGTCGTCGTCGTCGTCGTCGTCGTCGTCGTCGGCGGTGACGTGTTCTGCGTCGTCGTCGGCGTCGGTGTCGGCGTCGGCGTCGTCGTCGGCGTTGGCGGTGCCGTCCTCGTCGTCGTCGTCGTCGGCTGTGCCGTGGTCCCCGCCACTGCAGCCGCTGCCGCCGCCGCCGCCGTCGGCATCGTCGGTGTCGTCGCCGTCGTCGTCGTCCTGGTCGTCGTCGTCGTCGTCGTGTTTGTCGCCGTCGTTGTCGTCGGCGTTTGCGTTGGCGTCGGCGTCGACGTCGTTGCCGTTGTCGGCGTTGGCGGTGCCGTCGTCGTCGTCGTCGTCGTCGTCGTCGTCGTCGTCGTCGTCGTTATGGCCACCGTCGTCGGCGTTGTCGTCGTCGTCGTCGTCGTCGTCGTCGTTGTCGTCCACGGTGCCTTCTTCGTCGTCGACGTCGTCGTCGTCGTCGTCGTTGGCGTTGGCGTCGGCGTCGGCGTCGGCGTCGACGTCGACGTCGTTGTCGGCCAGGCCAGGGCCGTCGTCGTCGTCGTCGTCGTCGTCGTCGTCGTCGTCGTCGTCGTCGTCGTCGTCGTCGTCGTCGTCGTCGTCGTCGTCGTCTCTATGGCCACCGTCGTCGGCGTTGTCGTCGTCGTCGTCGTTGTCGTCCACGGTGCCGTCTTCGTCGTCTTCGTCGTCGTCTTCGTCGTTGTCGTCGTGTTTGTCGTTGTCGTCGGCGTTGGCGTCGGCGTCGGCGTTGGCGTCGACGTCGTTGTCGGTGTCGGCGTGGGCGGGGCCGTCGTCGTCGTCGTCGTCGTCGTCGTCGTCGTCGTCGTCGTCGTCGTCGTCGTCGTTATGGCCACAGTCGTCGTCGTCGTCGTCGTCGTCGTCGTCATCGTTACGGCCACCGTCGTCGGCGTCATCGTCGTCGTCGTCGTCGTCGTCGTTGTCGTCCACGGTGCCGTCTTCGTCGTCGACGTCGTCGTCTTCGTCGTCGTCGTCGTCGTCGTCGTCGGAGTGAGGACCCCCAGCCCCAGCCGTCGTCGACGTCGGCGTGGTTGTCGTCGTCGGTGTCGGCGTCGGCGTCGTCGTCGGCGTTGGCGTTGCCGTCCTCGTCGTTGTCGTGGGCTGTGCCGTGGTCCCCGCCACTGCCGCCGCTGCCGCCGCCGCCGCCGTCGGCATCGTCGTCATCGTCGTCGTCGTCGTCGTCGGCGGCGGCGGTGGCGTTGTCGTCAGCGTCGACGGTGCTTTCGTCGTCGTCGTCGTCGTCGTCGTCGTCCTTGTCGTCGGCGGTGCCGTGGTCGCGGTCGTCGCTGTCTTCGTTAACGTCCTCGTCGTCGTCGTCGTCGTCGTCGTCTACGATGGGCGCCGTGGTCGTCATCGTCGTCAGGGCTGCCGTCGTCGTCGCAATTATCGTCGCCGTCTGCTCCGTGGTCGTCGATGTAGGCTGCTTCTGGCAATGTTCGGCGCGGCCAAGAGCACCGCATGATGCCTAGAGCTCACGGGTAGTTGCTTTGGCCACGTTGACCCTGGCGGCCGGGCAACTCTCAGGCAGTAGCAGGCTCCGCTCCTCTTCGTACTCTTCCTCCTCGTCCTCCTCCCCGTCCTCTTGTTCTCCTCATTCTTCTCCCGCTGTCCTCTTTGTGCTCCGCCTCCCCCCTTCCCTCTCCTAGCCCCATCCCTTCCCCCTGGTGTTGCTCTTGGCTCCGACCCCCCCCACCTCCCCCTCTGGCTCCGCCTGCTCGTCGTCGCCGTTGCCGCCGCCGCCGCCGCCGTCGATGCCGCCGCCGCCAGTGGTGCCGTCGTCCTTGTTGTTGTCGCCGCCGCCAGCGGTGCCGTCGTCGTCGATGCTGTCGACGCCGCCAGCGGTGCCGCAGCCTCCGTCTTCGCCGTCGCGGCCGTCGTCGCCAACGACGGTGGCGGCAGGGAGCCCCCCCTTCGAGCGGTGGCGAAGCTTCCTGGCACGCCTATGGGCCCACCAGAGGAATGTTCTAAGAACCTTCTGTGGTCTGCACGAGACGTTCTCGGAACATTTCTAGCCGAGGCTGCCTTGTCTGAACGCATCGGGTTGATGTCCTAAGAGCATTGGTGTTGATACCAGAGCCTTTTCGGGTTCCGAGAACATGGCGTGGTAGGTCCGTAGGAATGCCGGGACGGCTGGTCCCTGCTACACCCCTGCGCCCGACGGCGCGCGCCGACCTCAGGCCGCCGCCTCGTCCAGCAGCGGGCCGCGGGGCTCGGCGCGGGTCTCGGAGGGGCGCTGGGGGTGCCCACGGCGACGGCGACGACGACCGCGGCGGCGGCGGCGACGGCGGCGACGTCGGCGATGGCGGCGAGGTCGACGACGACAACGACGACAACGACCACAACGACGACGACGGCGGCGACGACGACGCCGACGACGACGACGACGAAGACGACGAGCGGCGTCGTCTACGGCGGCGACGACGACGGCGACGAGGTGGCGCGGGCGTCGGCGCCAGCGTTGGAGAGGCGCGGGGAGGGAGGGCGCGGGGGAGCGAGGAGCGGGGGAGCGGGAGCGAGGGAAGAGGGCGAGGAGCGGGGAGGGAGGGGTGCGCGGGGGAGCGGGCAAGCGCAGATTGGAGGAGGCCTGAGAGGAGGGCTTGGAGGCGGAGGACGACGCAGAGGCTAGTGGCGAGGGACGAGGGAGGACGAGGCAGGCGGGAAGACTGAGGCGGGAGGAGGGTGGTGGAGGGTGGCGTAGGAGGACAGAGGATTTGTGGAGGAAGTTGGAGGATGTGGGGAAGCAGGGGTCAGGTGTGTTGAAGCAGTGCTGATGATGCTGATGCTGATGATGCTGATGATGCCCATCATGATGATCATGATGATGATGACGATGCTGATGATGATGACTATGCTGCTGCTGCTGATGATGATGATGCTGGTGATGATGGTATTGATGACGATGGTGATGATGCTGATGATGCTGATACTGATATCGATACTGATAAGGGTGATGATGATGCTGCTGATGATGATGAGGTTGATGGTGATCTTGATGCTGTGGCTGTCGATGGTGATAATGGTGATTATGATGTTGTTGATGACGCTGCTGCTGCTGCTGATGATGATGATGATGATGATGATGATGATGATGATGATGATGATGATGATGATGATGATGTTGTTGATGATGATGATGATGATGATGATGATGATGAGGAGGAGGAGGAGGAGGAGGAGGAGGAGGAGTAGGAGGAGGCCGAGGGTGCACGCGCGCAGCCCTTTTACCTCAGAACCCCGTGGAATCTGGGGGCTGAACCAGGCCCCCGCGTGCAGCCTGCCGCCTTCCTCCTCCTCCTCCCTCCGCAACGGCGCGACGGCGCGAGGGCCGCCTCAACGCCGACGTCGACCGACCTCCCTCCGCTTGCTTCCCTCCTCCCTGCTCTCCCTTGCCTCTTACCTCCCTGCCTTTCTCCTTCTCCTCCTCCTCCTCCTCCTCCTCCTCCTCCTCTTCCTCCTCTATCCTCCTCCTCCTCCTCCTCCTCCTCCTCCTCCTCCTCCTCCTCCTCCTCTATCCTTCTCCTCCTCCGCCCCCCTCCACTCGAGCACGGGTGGCCCGAGGCACGGTGCCCGGTTTGGCTCGAGCTAGCCCTGAAATGCCCAGCCCATTGTCTTCTCGTGGTGCCTTGCGGGGTCTACCGCTACAGAGCCGTGATTGGACAGCTGTTCTCCGTGCGGGAGGACGCGCAGAGGCGATTTCAACGCACTGCGTTTGTGTGTCTTCTTAGTCTTCGTACCTCCTCGTAGTTCTCCGTCGGCATCCCGTCCGCACCGGGGGGCACGGGGGCTTCTGGCCTACGGTGGGGGCGTTCGCTAAGGACTGTGCCCAGGAGGCTGCAGGCCCTGGAGGATTCCTCATCTGACGAGGGCGGCGGTGATATCCATGGCCAAACTTCGGTTGGAGTTCCACCGGCCTCCAGACCCTGGATGCCTTACCTAGGGGTTCCTTACCCAAGGCCCCCACCGCGCGCTCCAGCAGGCGCCAGCGTGGCAAGGCGCCGCCCGCGGGTGAGTGAGCCGTGCGGGTGGCTGGCCTCTTCTTGCCGCCCACGGGCGCGTAGGCGAGGCCGCGCGGCTTGCGCCGGCGCCTGGGGCCTCGGCCGTGAGACGGCGGCCCGCCCGCGCGGGCGGGGGCGGCATCGGCCCGCGCGCGGGCCTTGCCTGCATGCGAATTGACAAGGCCTCGGCCGCGAAGAGAGAAGGCTCTCACCGCACCGAAGTCGCAGACCCCCGGGCGGCGGAGCGCGGTGGTGTTCGTCGCGGTGCCCTCCTCGGGGCCCCTCCACGCCGGCACCCCGTGCGCAGCCGAAGGGGGTGCGGGTGCGCCGGGCCCGTCCGGGGCCCACTGGGGCGGCGGCCGGCTCGCTGGAGCTGTGTTTTGGGAAGTGTACACCGTGCTTCGAAAAGTCTTTGATTTTTTGTGGGAGGGGGGGGCGAAGACCCTCTCATCTCTAGCTGTTCTATCCTGGGCCTCCTCCTGGCCACTGGGGGGCCAGGAACACTTAGGAACGAGCACACTTCGAAATGAGCACGATTAGAGCTGAGCGACGTGTGCTCTATAGTACTTGCTTGCTTTTTACACCCATTTGAGTCCAGCCGTAATGCGGTGCTTGCCACTGCACTACGGTTGGTACCGGTGCCTTTTTTTTGTCGCAGGCGACGGGCGGGTGGCGATTCTTCTGGGCCGATACTCGCTGTACGCGGTGGGCGTGCGGTGCCCAGCGTGTTTTGCTTCATATTACCGTATTGTGTTGGGTACATGCGGCGGTCAACCTTTGGCGGCGTCCATTTCGTTTCCTCGGGTTCAATCTTTTGGGCGGGCATTCGCGAGGGCCTCAAGGTGTTCGTCTGAGTCCGGCAGGCCACCTTGCCTCCTTTGATTTGCCATGACTACGTCAGCGATCCCAGTCCTTTTCCCGCTCCCATTCTCACTCCCATTCCCATTTCTCCGCCCCCATCCTACTCATTCTCCTCCCTTTTGCCCTTCTTGCCCCAGCCTCTCTCCGTCTCCCTCCTCTTCTTGCCACATGGCGTCCTCCTCTTCCTCCACGCCCCCCCCCTTCATCCTCCACCTCCGCCTCCCCCTCATCCCCTCCAACTCCTCCTTCTCCTCCTGCTCGGCCACCTCCTGTTCCCCCCTCGTCTCCCTCTCGTCCCTGCCTTCCCCCTTCCCTCCCGCCCCAGCGAGGAGTTCCATCCTCGCCCCAACGCGCCCCAACGCACGGTGCTGCATGCGCGCCCCCTGTGTCGGGGCTCCTCCGAGGCACATGGCCGCGAGACAACCATTGCCGCCAGCCGCTGCTGCTGCTTCCAGTCGTGCCCTCCTGCCTTCATCCCGCCGCCCGCACCCCGCCTCCAGGAGGAGGAGGAGGAAGAGGAGGAGGAGGAGGAGGAGGAGGACGAGGAGGAGAAAGGAAAATGATGACACACCAACAAAGATCACCTGTGCAAGAGGAGGAGGAGGAGGACGAGGAGGATGAGGAGGATGGAGAAAGAGACGCGGCGCTGGTCCCGCGGCCCACGTGGCAGGCAGGTTGCCTGCGCCGACCCCAGGAAGCGTTTGCGGAGTTTCCCGCGCAGCCTCCATTTTGACAGGAAGAACCAGCGCCGTTGCAAGTCGGGGGCGGCAAAGAGGGGGGTGATGACTAGGGGGGGTGGATGTCATGGCGGGGGCCATTCTATTTGCCCAGACTTCATGGCGCCTCTTCTTATTTCATTGCGTCCCTGGCCCCCCCCCGCTGGGCCGCGCACATGCCGCCGGTCATGATTTGCACCCCTCCTCTTGGACACCCCCCTCTTGGCCGCTCCCGAGCAAGGAACGCAGCGCTGGCCGCACAGTCTGCGCACTGTGGGCGCACAGTGGCCGACCTCCCAGCGGGCGTCCCACGAGCAGTTTTTCATCTCCCGATGGGCCCACGGAGCCCTCGGGGCACCTTTCCGAGGCTCGTGGGGCGTCGCAGGATGTGCCCCTGGACTTCTCGCAGCAAGGCCTCTCATCGCGCGTGCCTGACGCGCGCGCTCGACAGAAGAAACAAATGGGCGGACCACGAGGCCGTGAAGAGACGGAGCCTCCGAGCGCGGCGGCGCGCCCCTCGGCCTCGCGGCGCCCGCGGCAGTTTCTCTCCCGTGGCCTGCGGGCCCGGAGCGGTCGGCGCGGCTTCCAGGACGTGCGCAGAAGACGGGCTCGAGCTCGAAGGAGGTCTGCTTCTGGGCTTCCTTAGTTGGGTCCGAGCAGGTGGGGTCGGAGGATCGCGCCGCATCGCCGATGCATCGACGACGCGGCTCGATGCTGAGCCCGACTTTCGCCACGCCGACGGCGCCAATGCATCGCGGGCATCGCCGGTGCATCGCCGATGCATCGGCGATGCAGCGCGATCCTTCGGCCCCGTCTATTCCGGCCCCATCTAGGAGGCCTCCACTGCTGCCGGGTGCCGGCGTGGTCGCGGTCGGCGTTTTCCCCTTCCTGGGCCTCCTGGGCGGCCCTCGTCGCCACCGCTGGGCCCGCCTCGGAGTGCTGGTCAGAGCGCGCCCCGGGAGAGGTCCGGGGGGCAGCGCGGTACCGGTGCTTCCTGCTTTCCCCAAGAGGTGCTCGCCCGTCCGACATCCGCCCGGCCTGGAGGAGCACATGCCCGACCAAACTCCACAGAAGAAGCGTCGACGCCCCAGAAGCGCCCGTGCCTCGCCGGTCGGGGCCCAGGTGCTCCGACCTGCCCTTTCGGCGTGGGGGGGGGGGGGCGGCTTTCCCCCCCCCCAGGGGGGGCCCTCGCCGCTGGGGATCTTGTCGCCGCGGGTACCACGACATATCACTGGTTCTGCCCCTGGAGTCCGCGCGCCACTCTCGGCTGCCCTTGACAGGGGGGGGGGGCCTCTGGGCCTCCCAGATGGGGTCGGAGCAGATGCGGTCGTGGGATCGCGCCGCATCGCCGATGCATCGCCGATGCGGCTCGATGTGGACGGAGCCCGACTTTCTCCACGCTGGCGTCGCCGATGCAGCGCCCTTGCCGTCGATGCATCGGCGATGCCCTCTCGACGCGGCCGGAGGAGGAGGAGGAGGAGGAGGAGGAGGAGGAGGAGGAGGAGGAGGAGGAGGAGGAGGAGGAGGAGGAGGAGGAGGAGGAGGAGGAGGAGGAGGAGGGGGCGAGGCATTCATTTGGGGCCTTCTTTGGACCATCTGGAGCCTCTCTTGGGGCTCTGTTGGGGCTCTCTTGGGGCTTCCTGTATCCTCTCCGGGCCACCCAGGCTCAACTCTGGCCTGCCTTGGGGGGCAATCTTGGCCCGTCTTCGGGGCGCCTGGGGCTTTCTTGAGGACGTGTGGGTGCCTCGAGGGCCCTCTCAACATCCCATGGGGCCCACATATAAAATGCCAAACATGTGCGGCAGAGGGATTTTATGGTTTTTCTCCACTCGGCGGCATCTCGTTGAACATCTTGCGGCCTCCTGGAGCTCGCTTTGCCTCCTCCTGGATCGTCGTCGAGTTTGAGTGCCCACTTGGACGGGGGAAATTGCGGGAGGGGCACTGGACACGCACGACGGCGACGAACATACATACGTTCTTGATTCCGAACACGAGAGCGCATTTGGTAGCAAACCATGGGAGCCGTGTATACCCTCGCAACTCTGTCTTTAAAGTGCACTCGCGCCGACTAGCGTCCTGTATTCGATGAGATCGTGCCGATTTTGCGTCGATGAGCGTCAATGGGCGTCGATTAGCGTCGATGTAGCGTCGATTAGCGTCGAGTTAGCGTCGATAAGCGTCGACAAGCGTCGATTCGTAAGAGCCGACGAGATGGTATGGAAGGCTCCCCCGAGTTGTCGCAGAGAGCACAGCCACGCAGTGGGATCAGCACTTCGAGATCCTTCTACTCCGAGCTGGTAGGCAGAAGACGCGCAGTGGTGTCGTGCCACCTCCGGTGTCCGCGCCAACCCAAGCTCCGCGCCTCTCCCTGCTCGTGTCCTGCTCGACCCGGATCTCCTGCTCCTTTGCCTGCTCCCGTGTACCCTTAAGTCGGGCATGCTCATCTACATGAGGAGTATTCAAGAAAAGTGAAATCATAGTCTGGTGAAGTTTTTTCTTGTGATCTTTCTGACTATTTTTGAATATGGTTTGCGAGTATTTGTTGTTTATTCTTTAATCCGCCTGTAGGACACATGCCAGACCTAAGCGTACCCCTCCTCTTGTCCGTAGCTCCTTAAGCTCAAGCCACGTGTGCTCGCAGTTTGGCTAGTCTTCAGGGCGTCTACGATGAGCGGTGCAGGCTCCCTTTCGGCTCCGGTGGTCTCGCGACGGCTGCCGACTGTTGGTCCTGTCGGCGCCCGCGGCCGACTGTCGGTGCCTGGCAGGGCCGCCCAGGGGCAGTTGGACTCCAAGATGCCGGGCATCAAGAAGACGATCGAGTCCATGGTGAGCACAGGCAGCCAGGCGGAGTACTTCAAGCCCGACCAGACGATCATCCTGCTCGACTGGGACGACACTCTGTGCCCCTCCACCTGGATCCGGGCCAACAAGCACCACCTCAGCTTCTTCAAGCCTGCTCCGAACACCGAACACTTTCAGCGGCCACTGCGCGAGCTGCAGCGGGAGGGCGAGGCCCTCTTGAAGCTGGCCATGAAGTTGGGCAACGTGGTCATCGTCACCAATGCCGTTCACCCATGGGTGGAGACCTCTTGCCGGAACTTCCTGCCGAGTCTCCTGCCCTTGCTGGAGTCGCTGCCCATAATTTACGCTCGTTCCGTCTACGAGACCCACTGCTGCGAGCCTGCTAAGCAGGTGCCTCGGGGCTCCGCAGTGGATGCCGTGCGGGCGGGTGGTGCAATCTGCGCGCAGCGCGCCATGCCAGGGATGTACAATGCCCTCGGGCAGAACAGGCTGCTCAGTCACAGCTCACGCCCTGCCGCACGCCAGATCGACATGGATCCACAGCGTTGGAAGGAGGTGGCGTTCGAGCAGGAAACAAGCGGCTTCTATTCGCGCTACCAGCACCAGAGCTGGAAGAACGTCATCAGCGTCGGTGACTCTGTCTTTGAGCGTGACGCGGTGAAGCGGGTGGTGCCCAATCGCACTGTCACAAAGAAGAAGTGCCGCACCAAGACGCTCAAGCTGTTCGATGACCCGGGCATGGATGATTTGATCGCACAAGTGAGGGTGGTCCGCGACGTTCTCTGCTCCATGGTCCAGTACGATGGAGATTTGGACATCGAGCTCAGTGAGGAGGACCTGAACGCCGATTCGTCCTTGCTGCTCGAGAAGATTGCTGATGCGTAGGCGGCAGGTGCAGGTGGTTCTGATCATGCATGTGCGGATTTGCTTGCCAGAGCTGCACTGGCAAGCATTCTAGGTTGTGATCGAGGAGGAGGCGGAGGAGGAGGAGGAGGAGGAGGAGGAACATGGAGGAGGATGAGGAGGAGGATGAGGGAGGATCGAATTGCGTGCTTACGTTTCGAAGCCATCGATGGTGCTTCCCGCACCAACTAGGCTGACCCACGCCTTGTCGTGGCCAGCGCGGTGGCGGATGCTCTGCAGGCGATGCAGCCCTTGGCAGAAGATGTTTTTTGATGCGCATTCTCCTGGCATGCCTGCGCCAATGGCAAGCTTTGGCGTCTGCCAGCCGTTCGTGGACTACAGTCGGACCGAGGATAAGATCGAGGTCGGTTCGGGGAGGGTGCCCTCGTGTTCTTCGTGCTTGATGGACGTTCTTGTCCATCCGGGGAGGATACCCTAGGATATTCTGTTTGTTTTGGCAGACGGAAGGTCTCATGTTCTTGAAGGATGTTCCTCTGGCCCAGGTCCGACTGTATTTGTCGCTGTGCAGACTGTTGGCCGGCATCCCACTTGAAGTGGGTGTTCAGGTCGGACGTGCTGTACTATGGAAGTGGTTGTCCTCGTCTCAATCGAAGCCGCTCCCGAGTCTTATTTGATAGTGCAGTTGGAACTTGCCCAACGGCAGCCAATTCAAAGCGTTCGCCTTCCCGCACCATGGTGGGGCATCGAAGTGGAGCAGCGCGCTGCTGTGCTGGGTGCGAATGCACGCCTGCCAGCGCGGGTGCCGTGCCGTCCACTGGGGAGATCTCCTGACATTGCATCTCTTTCTCAGGGAGGCGCCACGATGCTCCTTCAGTCTTGCAGCTCGCCCCTGCTGCGTTGAAAAAGGGGCGCGATGCGTGGTGGATGAGGTCGCAGGAAGGGGGAGGCGACGCTACCACCACCAGGGGGGCCACCTCTAGCGCCGGGTAGCAATCCGTTCCAGGGCGTTCCCGAACTTCCTCGGAGCGTTCTGGAGCGCGCTGAGACGGCCGATGCGCCTGGCACGTCCTCCAAACCCGCCGGTGTTCGAGGATTTCAAATTTATATCGGTCCGATCTTGTCTCGATTCTGCCTTCGTCTCAGATAGGACATTCCAAAAGAAGGGCTTGCCTGAAGTTGGGCCCGTCCCTCTACAGGAGGAATATTAAAAATAGGTACATTGTCTGGGGACTATTGTTTAAATAGTTTTTGGCCTTTGGAGTATTTTTTGAGTTTTTATTTTTCGTCGAATCACCTGTAGGGGGGACACGCCCGACTTAGGCTTGCCTTCGAGTGTGGAAGCAGTTGCCATCTCTCCCTCGGCGGAAGGGTGGCGGAAGGTGGGCGGAAGTAAAATGAGCCCGCCTCCGCGGGCGGAAGCGGGCGGAAGCCGGCGGAAGCTCGGCGGAAGGAGGCGGAAGGCGGCGAAAACAAAACATGCACCGCCGAGAGATGAACACGTTTTTGGGTTCAGGGTTTCCGAAGTCGCCCAGGTGGCGGATGTCTCGAGCAAGAGGGGGGCACCACAGCAGCAGGAGAACCCCCCTGTGTGCCCCGCGGCGGTGGTGGTGGTGGTTGTGCCTTTCCTCGTTCCTGCCAGAAGGATGGGAGGACCACGAGGCCTCAAGCCGTACCGAGGGCCTCCACAGGGGGGAACGCCGCCCAGAGGGGAGGGGGCAGAGAAACCTACAGTGGAGGCTCATGCCAAGGAACACCCTGCTTGCCTCCAGGGTGCCCTGGGCTTCTTGGATTGCGATGGTTTTGCGATGGCAAGCGCGACGTTCCCACACCAAAGTCGATGGACGCCCTGGGGTCTCAGGGTTGGGCTTCTTGCGGAATGTCGCTTGGGGTAGAGCTCCTGCTGCGAAAGAAGTGAGACCTGGAGGCCGAAGTCTGGGGGCTCTCTGGAGGCCTCCGTGGAGCACGCCTCGGCCGGCCGGGGTGCTACCCACCCCTCCACGCATCCTTGCCCTCCTCCTCCTCCTCCTCCTACTCCTCCTCCTTCACCTCCTGGACCTCCTCCTCCTCCCTCTGTGCTTGTCCTCCCCCTCCTCCCTCCTCCTCCCTCCTCCTCCACCTCCTCCTCCTCCTCCTCCTCCTCCTCCTCCTCCTCCTCCTCCTCCTCCTCCTCCTCCCGCCGTCCTTGTTCTCCTCTGGGGTCTGGGACAGGCGCACTGTATCCTGGCGTGTGGTTGACGGCTCGTGTTCGGCACAGGGGGCAGGCGCGGCAGCGCCCCGATTTTTTGGGCGCTGGCAGGCGGGGTATACTTGCCAGGCGCGCGTGCCTGCTCTCCCTCCTTCTTCCTCCTCCTCCGCTTCCTCCTCCTCCTTCTCCTCCCACCTTCTTATTCATCCTCTTTCTTCCTCCTTCTCCTCCCTCCTCCTTCTCCTCCCTCCTCCTCCTCCTCCTCCTCCTCCTTCCCTCCTTCTTCTTCTTCCTCCTCCTCCGCTTCTCCTCCTCCTCCTCCTCCTCCTCCTCCTCCTCCTCCGGCTTTTTTTACCATTACTCATCATGATTCCTGCTCTCCCTTCTCCCGTGACTCCGTCTGAATGTGGCCAGTTCTCTCCGCGTGTTGTTTCCGTACAAGATATAAACAGGGTATGTGTTTTCATAGTTGTTGCAATCCGACTGTGTTCGGTGTTACGGCAAAGTGTGATCCAGCCTGAGCCTCGGTTGAGAATCACCGCTTTGTGCCCGTTGTTCAGAATGGCGCTCTCGCTCCAGCGTGGGCTACTTGTCTGGATCCGAGTCCTTCTTCTTAGTTGTCGCCCGCCTCGTTTCCCTTCCTGTGCCTTCCCCTGGTTCTCCCGCTCCTCCCGTTCCCTCTACTCCAGCTCATCCTGCTGATGCTGTTCGTACTCGCCGTCCTCCTCCCTCGTCCTCCTCACTGTTCCTCCTGCTCATCCTCCTGCTCTTCCGCTACCGCCTTCTCCAATGTGCGCACCCTCTTTTTTTATACCGATTGCGCATAACACGACGGGGTCTTCCTTGGAGTTCCAGTCAGGAGGGAAACAAGACACACACAGACACAATTAATCGTCGACTTCCCAGAAACTATGGGAAACTGTGGGAAGTGGAGGGGAATACCAACACCCAGACCATATTGAATATTTGGGGAATCCTGTTATTTGTATTGTGTGTGTGTGTGTGTGTGTGTGTGTGTGTGTGTGTCCCAGGCCCCCTCCTCCAGGTCCGCTGTGACACGCGTCGGCGGAGAGAGGAACAGCAGCGCAACGGGCAAGGATGGGTGGGCGGCGTAAGATGCCAGATGCGGCGCGAGCGCACCCAGCTTGCCTGTCTCCTCTCTCATATCCCCCCATCCTCCTCCTCCTCCTCCTCCTCCTCCTCCTCCTCCTCCGCCTCCTCCTTTTTTTCTTGCGCAGGCTGCCGAGCGCTCCAGGCGCTCGTAGCGTCAACCTCCTCCTCCTATTCCTCCTCCTCCTCCTCCTCCTCCTCCTCCTCCTCCTCCTATTCCTCCTCCTCCTCCTCCTTCCCCTCCTTCCCCTTCAGTCCCTCCTCTGCCGCCCACTTGACCACGGCGACGACGAGCGGCGGCCCGCGGGCGGCAGGGCCACCGAGGAGGCCACTTCGGGCCTGCTCCGCAGAGGTGCCGCGCGAAGGAGCACGCATCGCTTGCCTCGCGACCCGCCGCGCACCCCGTCGGGGCGACCTGTTGCCGATGTACGTGTGGAGCGCGAGGCGGGCGCGGCATTGTCCGAACTGGGGCTCTGGCAGCGGGGCGATCGCCCGGCGCGCGTGCCAGCCCTCCTCCTCCTGCGTGGGAGGTGGCGGAGGCTGCGGGGCTTCCGAGGCGAGCGCGACGATCGATGCGAGCCGAGAGGCGAATCTCCAGCGCGTTGTTGGTGCTGAAGTCACTCGCTTGCCTTCTCCAGAGCGGTTCTCGCTCACGGTCGGCCGCAGGCTTGCGTCCTGGCAGGTCCCTCCCCCGCCGTCTTGTGTCCTGTCACGAACGATGGTCCCTCCTCAAGGCCGTTCTTGTTCGGATGCAGCTCCTGGGAGGTCACACTCTGATTTTGCCCTGGTCCGAAGTCAGGCTTAATCCAGTTCATTCCCGCCTAATCCGGCTCAGTCCCGCTTACCCCCGCTTAATCCGGTTTAAGCCCGCTTAATCCGAGGCTCACTCCGGCGTAACAGCCCCCCAACGGGGCCTACTCCTCCTTAATCCTTACGACGAAGACCTCCCAGTTGTTGCCTCCTTAGTCTTGTCAGGGTACGTCCCTCCTGCCGTTGCGCTGCCTTCCAGTCCCTCGCAGGAGGGTGGACCACCAGCGCTCTCGACTGCATGCGCCCCCACACTCCAGGGGCCGTGTTTTCGGCTGTGGTGGACCCGATGCGATCCAGCATATTTTCGTTGCTCTCGGCTCTGTTACCATGCCGCCCTCAGTTGGATGCGCCTCGATTTCCCTTTGGACCCCCTCGTCAAGGAGGGCTGCGGAATTTCTCGGGCACGGGCTGTGGAAGCCACAGTCATATCCTCCACATCTGCCACCAAGCAACATTTCACGTACCAGTCTCGGCGCACCTCTCATACGAAGGAGCTGCGCGAGTGGCTCTCGCTGCACGCTTGTCGCTTCGCGCCGAGTGTGGTTATCAGGAGCCTGCTCTCAGGTTGCGTCGAATCCGTCCCATCCTCCTCCCACTCCTCCTCCTTCTCCTCCTCCTCCTCCTCCTCGTCCTCCTCCTCCTCCTCCTCGCCTGAGGTCAACTGTCAACTGTTGCGAGGATAGGGGACACAGGTCGGAGGCAGCTTCGGGGGGGTATCGGCCGGTGGGGCCCCGAGAGAAGCTCTCAAGAGCGCCTCCTTCTCCTCATCCTCCTCGCCCTCCTCCTCCTCCTCCTCCTCCTCCGCCTCCTCTCGTCCTCCTCCTCCTCCTCCTCCTCCTCCTCCTCTCCTCCTCCTCCTCCTCCTTCTCCTCCTCCCATCCTCCCTCCTCTCCTCCTCCGCCTCCCCTCCTCCACCTCCTCCTCCTCCTCCTCCCCTCCTCCGCCTCCTCCTCTCTCCTCCTCCCTCCGCCTTCATTTCTCCCTCCTCTTCCTCTTCTCCTCCTCCTTCTCTCCTGCTGCTCCTCTCCCCTCCTCCTCCCCACCTCCTCCTCCTGCTCCTCCTCCTCCTCCTCCTCCTACTCCTCCTCCTCCACCACTCCTCCTCCTCGTCCCCTGCACGCCCCGCATCCTCCTCCTCCCTCCGCCTTCTCCTCCTCCTTCCTCCTCCTCCTCCTCCTCCTCCTCCTTTCTCCTGCTCCTCCTCCATGCTCCTATCCCTCTTCTCCTTCGCCTCCTCCTCCACACCTCCTCCTCCTCCTGCGCCTCCCTCCTCCTCCTCCTCCTCCCTCCTCCTCCTCCCTCTCTTCTTCTCCTCCTCCTCCACCTCCTCCTCCTCTCTCCTTCTCCTCCTCCTTCTCCTCCTGCTCCTCCTCCTCTCCCTCCTCCTCCTCCTCCTCATCCTCCTCCACCTCCTCCTCCTCTCTTCTTTCTCCTCCTCGCCCGTCTCTCCTCCCCTCCTCCTCCCCTCCTCCTTGCCCGCCGCCTCCTCCTCCTCCTCCTTCTCCTCCTCCTCGCCCGCCTCCTCCTCTCCTCCACCTCCTCCTCCTCCTCCTCCTCCTTCTCCTCCTGCTCCTCCTCCTGCTCCTGCCTCTCCTCCTCCTCCTTACTCCTTTCCCCCTCCTCCCCCTCCCCCCCCTTCACCTCCTCCTCCTCCTCTTCCTCCTCCTCTTCTTCCTCCTCCTCCTCCTCCTGCCCTCGGCGAAGGGTCTGCAACGGGGCGGCGGCTGGGCCTGCGCGCGCGGCGCGGCGGCCTCCTCTGAAAAAAAAACACTCGCCGCGGGATCCGCCCGCACGGGGCACCCGGGTGCGCGGGCGCCCCGCGGGCGGGAACGCGTGCTCTCCCGCCCGCCTTCCCCCCCCCCTCCACAATTACTCAATATGAATACTACTCTCCCTCTTCCCCCGATGGCGGCCTGAAAGTATTAGACCCCCCCCCCGCGTACTGTTTTTTACACACAGGATTCCCGGGAGTTGGGTTTTCGCCTGCGTTTTTTTTCAAAATGCTGCTCTCGCTGAGGCGCCGGCCTCATTTCTGCTCCCGAATCGTTCCGAATCGTGCTCCCGCTGCAGCGTGGGCCTCATTTTCGGATCGGTGTTTGGCCTCCGTCGTTCAGGATGGCGTTCTCGCCCCAGCGCGGGCCTCTTTCTCGCGCGCCCATCCGCCCGCCACCACCGCGCCGCACCACCACCACCACCACCACACCACACACCACCACCACCACCACCACCACCACCAACCACCATACCACCACCACCACCGACCACCACCACCACCGACCACCACCACCACCACCACCACCACCACGCACCACCACCACCACCACCAACCACCACCACCACCACCACCAGCACCACCACCACACCACCACAACCACCACCACCACCACCAGCCACCACCACCACCACCACCACCACCACCACCACCACCACCACCACCACCACCACCACCACCACAACCACGCACACACGCACGCACGCACGCACGCGCACCACCACCCACTACGCACGCGCGCGCGGAGCCACAGGTCCGCTACGACACGCGTCCGCGGATAGAGAAAATCAGCGCCATGGTAAGGGATGGGAGGGAGGGGTAGGACGTCAGATATGACGCGAGCGCACCTAGCTTGTCCCCCCCCTCCCCCCCTCGCCCCCTTTCCCCCCCGGCTCGCGGCCAGGAGTCTCGCAGGAGTCCGCCTTCCCCGCCTCCTCCCCCTCCTCTTTCCCCTCCTCTTCCCCCTCCTCCTCCCCTTCCTCTTCCCCTCCTCTTCCCCCTCCTCTTCCCTCTCCTCCTCCCCCCTCCTCCTCCACCCTCCCCCCCCTCCTCCCCCTCCCCCCCCCCCCCCTCCCCCCCTCCTTCCCTTTTCCCCGAGTGAGCGCGAGAGAGAGAGAGAGAGAGAGAAAAAGAGAGAGGGGGGCGCCAGGGCGGCAGCGCCGGCAGTGCGCGCAAGGGCGAGGCGGGCGCCGCCGCGTCCCCGCGGCAGAGGGCCGCCGGCGAGAAGAAGCCGGCGATGCCCTCGCAGACGCGGAAGGCGGGCCCTCGCTGCCGTCTCGGTACGATCGGAGTTCGACTGCACGCGATAGTGGCTTTCTGCCAGAGTGACCTCTGGGTGCGGGTCCATTGTCAAGCAGTGGCGAAGTGTCCTGGCTCGCCTATAGCCCTACCAAACAATGTTCTAAGAACCTTTTGTGGCTTCCACGAACTGTTCTTAGGGCATTTCTTGTTGGGACTGTCTTCTTTTAGTGCATGAGGCTTATGCTCTAAGAACATTGCTTTTGTTCTTAGAACATTTTTGGGTTCTAAGAACATTTCGTGGTAGGACTATGGGAATGCCGGGATGGTCGGTCCCTGCTTAACAGTGGGCCCCACCGAGTGCTGAACGCGATGCGACGGCAGCAGCTCGCGCGCCCCGTGGTGCCCCCAGGGGCCCCCCCCCCGTGGCCGCGCACTGAAGGTCACTCTTGCCCCAGGGCCGCTTCTGCGTGTAGCCAAGGAATGGGTGCGGACATCATGGGCACGGTCCGCCACGAGAATGTACGCACGGATACCCTGCAGCGGATCGTTCCTGGGCCTCGGGGGAGGGTGGGGGTGTAGATAGCACCACTGGGAGCCAGCGACTTTTTGCACCGCCGCCCTCGCCGCTCAGAGCTCCGGATCGTCAGGGCAGAGGGTGGTCCGGGGTAGCTATAGATTCGCGCCTTGGGGGCCCAGACTGGAGTTACCCCGGACCGCAGCTATCCCGGATGATTCGGGCGTCTTACCCTCCCGAATCATCGGGGCTGGGGGCCGTCAGGGGCAGCTACGGTTTCGTGCCTCGGGGGCCCAAGCCGGAGCTGCCCCGGACCGCAGTTATCCTAGATAAGTTCGGCCGTCCAAAATGAGTAAGGAAATCATGTGCATCAGGACCAGCAGCAGTTCTTGCCAATTTTGGGCAGGGCTCGCTGTCGGCGTTGCCTCGGACGTTGTCAATTTTAGACAGGCGGCCTCCTGTCCAACAGCGGTCGCTGTCTGTGTTGTCGGAAAACGCTCCCGGAACACGCTGTGAGTCAACAGGAGTTGCTGCGAAGTGTCCTAACAGGAGTTGCTGCGAGGTGTCCTGACCGGCGCCGGAAAGAGCTCTGGGGCTACCCTGTGCTGCCGGCTTTTAATCTGAAACATGCTTAGCTCTCAGGGAGCCATCCAGAAAAAAAGCGGCAGACATATTGGGTCTAGGGATCGAGTCGCTATTTTTCGCGATGTTGCAAGTTCCTCGCGACTTCAGATCTCAGGGTCAGTTCGTCAGTCTTTTTCAGCCCTGGTGTTTTACCACAACTTCGGCCTCCAGGGGCTGTTTTCCATGGGGGTGATGAGAACTGCCCCAGGGGAATGGAAGTCGGGAGTTCTGGGGCCGCAGGTTGAAATAATCATGACCGATCGGAGGTTTGGGGCCGTCGCTGTCGGCGTCGCGGGCCGGAAGGGATCGTAGCAAGGTTCCCGCACGCGTGGTGGTCTCGACAGAGCTCGGCAGACCCCCCTGGTGCGGTGTCAAGGCGTTGGCTCCGCCTCCGGCGGCGCCCTCGACGGCTCTCTGGGATTGAGGTTCGGGCTGGGGTAGCGTCGGGGGGAGGGGGGGGGGTCGGCTGAGGGGGGGGCGCATCGACCCCCGATCGCCCATGGATCGCCGATTAGAGTCTGATAGCCCACCCCGCCCAGGACCGCTCGGTTTTGCCATCGCGGGCCTGCCGCCGATGTACATCGGCGATGTATCGCCGATTGAATCTCGATGTCCTCCCCCATGAGCTGGTCCCCCCTTGTCGTTGCCCCTCATTCGGGTCGGGCGGGTCGCGGGGGATTGGGAAAGGGAGGTTGCGACACACAGGAATTCAAGTTTGGTATTTCCTGCGTGCTCTTCGATCGAACAGCTTTCGGTCCTTCCTAAACTGGTGCCCCCGCTGAAGCGCTGGCCACATTTCAGGATCAGGGTCCCCGTCTTTGCACTAGGGATACTAGATCTGGGCGGTTTGGTTCGATACATATGCAGAAGAGACCCCCTATCCCTAATGTTCTTAGCCCTCCTAACTTAAGGTCCCCTCCCAAAGGTTTAGGGGTTATTTTTGTGTTAATTGTTGCTACCGTCGTTCAGAATGACTTCTGGATCCGATCGTCGTTCCTCGTCGTTGCCGCTGCCCCACTTTTTCCTCTTCTCCGCCCTCTGCTGATCCCCCTGCTTCTCTCAGGAGGGACGAAAACACACAGACACAATGAATCGTCGATTCCCCAGAACAGATGGGAAAAGATGGGACATGGGGGGGGGGGGGGAAGACGAAAACCCAGAAGATATAGGAAACAATGGGGAATCCGGTTATTTGCATGCTTCTCCTGTTCCCTCCTCCTCCCCTCCTCCCTCCTCCTCCTCCTCCTCCTCCCTCTCCTCCTCCTCCTCCTCCTCCTCCTCCTCCTCCTCCTCCTCCTCCACCTCCTCCTCCTCCTCCTCCTCCTCCCCTCCTCCTCCTCCTCCTCTCTCCTCCTCCTCCTTTCTCCTCCTTTCTCCTCCTACTCCTCCTCCTCTTCGGGGCGGGGCGGGTGCCCTGGCGGCCTGCCCGTCGCGCACGCAGCGGCGGGGGCTCGGCCCCGCAGGGCCCGGCGGGCTCCGCGGGGGGGCTCACGATCTGCAACTGCGGGAGCCTCGAGGAGGAGGAGGAGGAGGAGGAGGAGGAGGAGGAGGAGGAGGAGGAGGAGGAGGAGGAGGAGGAGGAGGAGGCGGAGGAGGAGGAGGAGGAGGAGGAGGAGGAGGGGTGGTGTCGGGGCTCAAGAGACGGGGGTCAATGCAAACGGGGGTCAGCCAGAGCGCCGTATCTCGCAGGAAGCCTGCAGGGCCAGGGTCGCACTGACCCGGGGCAGGATGCAGGATCCCAGAGGCTTTTGCAGGAGCCTTCGCCTTGACCCGGGTTTGGGTGCAGGATCTTGCAGGGTTCTGCAAGGCCTGGCTGACCTGGGTCTGGATTGACCCGGGTCAGAAGATCCCCGACGCCGACTGCCTGGGTACATTCTCGTACGGCAGTCTGTACGGTGCGCGCTACAGTCGAGTTTGATTAGTAGGTCGACCCTGCCCAAACATGGGTACCCTTGTGTCCTGTGTTTCGCGACCCGTGCCTTCTATGTTCCACTGGCAATGTGGCCATCGGAAGGGTCTTGTGTCCTCCCGCGTGTCCTCTCCAATCCACCCCGACTGCACTCTCGACCTCATCGCACGCGTTCGATGATCGTTCGAGGTAGGGCTTTGCTTGCACGTGGGCACGCGCGAGCAGTGCACGGCACAGACCACGCGCGATGCCGAGTCTTCCTTCGCCTTCCCGTCTTCTTCTTCCTGCAGAGTTCTGCGCTCTGGCCGAGCTCCTGGGGCTACCATCTTGACGGAGGGCGCCAGGCAAGCCGGCTCCTGCTCGCGGCCAGCTTCTGTCCTCTGGCTTCAGCTGCGTCGCAGATCTCGGCAATGACAGCTGCCTGGTTGCATGTTCTCTCGGAGGCGGGGTGGTCAGTGCCCATCGAGGGAGCTATGCGGTTTTTAACTTCAAGCGACGCAGCACCACGGATCGTCGAAGTTCATGGCACCAATATGACAATAGCCCCCCTACAACATGTTTTCGAAGTGTTCGGCACGCTGTTGCGTATGCCGACAGTGTGGAAGTGTAGCTACAGAACAATGTGGTCAGGTCATGGCGGGCGCTCTACAACCACAGGACCTGCTATGTTTCCGGACGGCTCCAATTTCCGAGAGGATCAAGATGTTCCAGTCGCCTTTATTAACGTTTCTTTATCTGGTGTTGTGACATGGAGGGCTTGTCAGCTCAGCAGCGGTTCGCGGCACGCGGTGTACAGCAGGCTACGTTTATAAGAACGGTGTTGATGAAGCGGTGGCAGTCGTAATCACTGAACTATTTTATGGTTCGATTGGACCGCAAAGTCCAGTTGGAGGGAAGACCAGGACTGGATTCCAGATCAGAGGCGACGTGTTCAAAGCGTTTGCATCGTTGGGCAGGGCTTGTGACTCCGCTTCGAGATTTCGCAGCTTGATCCTCATGTCGCACGGAAAAGCGATACCAGGTGATGCTCCCTACACAGTGTTTGCACTCTGGAGGTCTTACTTCGGTTGCACAGGGACTTGGATAGGTGGGGCGAGGTTTCTCCTGGTGTGCGGCCTTGGGCGTCTCGTGGGCGCCCCGTGCGCTGGGCTTGTGCGGCGAGCTTTTGCCTGGCCTGTGGGCGGCCGTTGACGCCACGTGGGCGCCCCGTGCGCTGGGCGGGCGTGGCGAGGTGTCGCCCTGTGGGCGGCCGTGGGCGCCGCGTGAGCGCCACATAGCTTCACACCTGATCCGCACAGCTTGCTCCACGCAGCTTGCGCCCCGTGGCTTGCACCACATATCACGCCTGCATAGTTTGCACCACGTGGGCTGCACCGCCTCCCCGTGCACCACACATCTCAAGCTACAGAAGGTACAGGGCACAGTTTACGTTATGCCACTTACACCAGACAGCTCGCACCACGTAGCTTGCACCCCATAGCTTGCACCACATAGCTAACACGAAATAGCATGAACCCCGTGCACCACCTTGACTACATTTCCACAGTGCAAGCGCTCATTGTTTTGGGGGTCCACTGGCAAACATCATCATCTTCTTGTCTTCCCCTACAAGAGCGGTGGGTCAGCAGAAGCAGCGAATCGTTGGCTGGCGTTTCCTTCGGATAGACACTTGTTAATCCTGAAATTTGAGACCTGCCCATCCTCCGACTCCTGCTCGTCCGCGTCCTGTTTCTCCTCCTTCTCCTCCTACGTCTGTGCAAAGCCCCCTCTGTTCGATTACGCGGCAACTGACGGGCCCAATCCTGCATCTGCCGTTTGGACACCAATGTTCTATGGGACATTCCAGCTGGCAGATGTAGAAAAGGATCCAACTCAGTGGAAAGGAATGGGATGGGAAGAGTCGGGTACGATGACAGGTGTGGCGCGAGCACACCTGGCTTCTCTTCTTTCTGCTGCTTCTCCTCCGCCTCCTCCTTCGCCGTCGCCGGCGATGTTGGGGCCGTCGCCTTCGCCAGCGCGCCACCAGCGTCGTCTTTGTGGTCGTCATCGTCGTCGGCGTGATCGTCGTTGTCGATGCCAATAACGCTGTCATCGAGGTCGTAGGTCGAGGGTCGAGGTTTGGGACTCGAGGGCCGAGATTGATTGGACGTCTTTGGTCCTGTCTGACGGGCCTTCCGAGGCCTCTGGAGGCCCCCAGAGACCTCCAGAGACCCCCAGAGACCTCCAGAGACTTCTGCAGACCTTGAGACCTCTAGAGACATCCAGGCACTTCCACCGATTTCTGGAAATCTCTCCCGAGATCTTCAGAGAACTCTGGAGACCTCAAGGGATCCCAAGAGACCTCAAGATAATTCCAGAGACTCCAGAGACTTGACTTCCAGTGACCTCCGGAGAAGACCTCCAGAGAGAGAGAGAGAGAGAGGGACCTCCAGAGTCTTCCAGATACTTCCGGCTACCTCTAGACAGAGACCTTTTGAGACCTCCGGAGAGCTCCAGAGACCTCCAGAGACCTCCAGAGACTTCCAGAGACCTCCAGAGGCTTCAGGGGACCACCCGAGACCTCCAGTGACCTCCATTGACCTCCAGAGACCTTCAGAGATTTTCAGAGACCTCCAGAAGGCTCCAGAGACCTTCACACACCGTCGTCGTCGTCGTCGTCGTCGTCGCCGGCGATGCCCTCGGGTTAGTCACCGTGTCTTTCGCCTGCATGATCGTCGTCCTCTTCGCCGCCGCTTCCTCCCTCCCCGTGCTTCCTCACTGCTCCCCTCCTCCTCCGCCTCCTCCTCCTCCTCCTCCTCCGCTTCCGCCTCCTCCGCCTCCTCCGCCTCCTCCTCCTCCGCCTCCTCCTCCTCCGCCTCCTCCTCCTCCTCCTCTTCCTCCTCCTCCGCCTCTTCCTCCTCCTCCTCCTCCTCCTCCTCCTCCTCCTCCTCCTCCTCCTCCACCTGCTCCCCCTCCTCCCGCCTTTTTCCCTCCCTCCCTGCTCCTGGCGCCGGGCTCGACGACCGTCGCCGTCGCCGCTGCCGACGCCGCCGCCGCCGCCGACGGCGGGCCCGCGGGCGGGCAGGTCTTCGTGGGCGGCATCCCGCAGGACGGCCCTCGGTGGGGCCGGGGCCCTCCTTCAGGAGGGAAAGAAACACACAGACACAATTCATCATCGATCCCCCAGACGAGATGGGAAAAGATGGGACATGGGGGGGAAGACAAAAGCCCAGAAGGTATGCGAACGTATGGGGAACCCTGTTGTTTGTGTCTATCTATTCGTGTGCCCCAGGGCCCTTCACTCCTGCCGCCGCCGCCCGGCGCCGTCTCCGCCGCCGGCCGCGCTGCCGCCGGCGCCGCCGGCCGCGGCGGCCGCGGGCGGTGGCTTTGGGGGTCGCGGGGGCTCGGGGAGGACCCAGGAGCGAAGGGCCCAGACAGGATCGCGTCGCGAGAGAAGCAGCAGGGAAAGAAACACACAGAGACACAATTCATCGTCGATCCCCCAGAAGATACGGGAAAAGATGGGACATGGGGGGGGGACGACAACAGCCCACAAATAGGCGAAAATATGGGGAACCCTCTTATTTGTGTCTATCTATTCGTGTGTCCCAGGGCCCCTTCGAAAGAAGCAGGGCGGGGGAGGCTTTTGGCCATTGTTTCGGCCTCGGGGGCCCCTCGCCGGGCCCCAAAGCCGTCCCGTCCCGGGGAAGGGGTCGGGGCTTCCAGGGTCGGGGGCCTCGAGACGGGTTTAATGCAAACGGGGGTCAGCCAGGGCACCGGATCTTGCAGGATCCTGCGAAGACCCCCTCTCGCTGACCCGGGTCAGCGAGCCGCTCGTGGCCGCGAGGCGGCCGCGCACACTGGCTGACCCAGGTTTGCGGAGACCTGCGTTGCAGTTTTTTTCCTGCATTGCAGTTTTTGGTTTCCTGCTGACCCGGGTCTGGATTGACCCGGGTCAGAAGATCCCCGACAGGGACCCCGTCTTGAAAAAGTTCAGGACGCCGCATGTCTGGGAAAGGACGTACACGTGTATGAATCCACGTTGGTTTGGACAGTACGCACCGCGCGACCGTTCGTAACACAAGGCTGTTCATGTGCGTGGTCGGGAGCGTACGTCCTTGTGGGCTCCCTGAGGCGTGCCGGTGCATCGAGGTCTCTATCGTGGGGTGCGGGGTGCGGGGGCTCGGGGCGACCGATCCCGGTGCGTCAGGAGGGGGCGGGAAGAACAAACACAGTGACACGGAGAATCGCCGATTCCCAGGAACATGTGGAACACATCGAGTCCTTCCTTGGGTGCGTTTGTTGCACGGCTTCGCTTGTCGGGGTGCTTATGATGGGCCTGATGGGGGTGGATTTTCTGCCTTCAAATACGGCCGAGCATCTGATCAATAAACCTCCTCCAGGAAAGCTGCGCCAGCGCTTCTTGACCAACTTGTCAGAAAGTTGTGCTAGCTTCTTGAGCGCGTTACCCCTCCAGCGCCAACAACAGAAGTTTGCCCAGGCTTGCTTTACGAATCTTCCCGAAGTTGGCCCAGGTTTCTCAAGTGATAACTTTCTTGACCATGTTTCCAGTTGTAGAACAACATCGGCAAGACGAGCGCACCCGATGAAGTCCGAACAACGACGCCGACAGCAGACTCATCAAGTGATATCCGCCGTTCAGTGTTCGTCGGCGAGCGAGGGGGTGAAGTGAGAAGGAGACGGCCTTCTCAGAAGGCGGCGGGATTTCTCAGAAGCCCTCTGGCCTTCTGAGAGGTCGCTTTTATGTTCCCTGGGATGGCGTAGAAAACTTTTCAGACGGCCGGGGGACTTCCGAGCCTTCTGAGAAGGCCCGCCCCTTCTCACTCCCCCCCGGGGCTCCTGGCAACGTGCGCGGATGCGCGCCATGGCCAGGTCATCAAACTATGCCTTCTTGGTGTGCGCGCCTGGCGGCAGTGTCGAGCGGCGGGTGTCATTTGCTGCCCGGGTGCTTCCCCAAGCTGCTCCCTCATTGCGCCGCAGTCATGGCTGGTTGTAGGTTCGGCCTTGCAGTTTCATTCCCACGATGCATAACGTGCCTCGCACGATGCAGTGCGTTCGTCTCGGTGTCTCGTAACAGTGACAGGCGGATTTCTCTTAGTGCGAACGGTTCCATAGGCATTGTTTCAACGGCGTTTTGGCCTTTATCCCCGGGCCCCTCGGAGAGCACGCCGCTGCGGCCTCGCCGTGGGTGCCGCTGCGACCTCGGGCGCGCGCGCGCGCGCAGCTCCGCTCGAGCGTGAGCGCCCTGGCGGGGGCCGCCGCCGCGCCGGCGCGCCGCCGCTCGCCGGGCAAGGGAGAGGGGGTAGGGGAACGGGGCCCGAGGTGGTCTGCCGCTCGTGGCCTCCCCGGGCCCTCCGGCAGGCCCCAAGATTTCAGGAGGGAAGGAAACACACACACAGACACAATCAATCGTCGACTCCCAGGAAAATATGCAAAAATACGGGAAGTGGGGGGGAAGACTAAAACCCAAGAAATATGGGGAAAGATGGGGAATCTTTTTATTTGTGTGTATTTATTTGTGTGTCCTGGGGCCCATTCAGATTGTCGGAGAGCGACTCCGTAGGAAGTGCGGGCCCCGGGGCCGCTGCATGCTTTTTTGCTTCCGTTCTGCCCAGCCCCGTTCGCGATGTTCCACGGCCTCCGTGGGCCAGATGTCGGCCACGCTGCCGGGACGTACTCTCCTCGGCTTTCGCTGCTGTTCGATTGCAAGATCTCCCCAGAAAGGTAAGATGAGTGGCTGGCCCTGGGGGAAGGCCCCAGAGGCCCGGGACCCGTTTCCCTCAGCGCCCGTTTTGGCGTCGGTGTCGGCGCTCCTTCGCTGTAGCCCGGGCCTGCGGTCGCCGTCGCAGTCGCCGCCGCAGCCCGTTCGTGGGAGGTGGCCGTCGGGGGAGGATAGGATTCAGGAGAGAACAAAAACACACAGACACAATTAATCGTCGATCCCCCAGAAAATATGGAAAAATATGGGAAGTGGTGGGAAGACAAAAACCGAGAAAATATACAAACATATGGGGAATATTTTTATTTGTGTGTATTTATTTGTGTGTCCCAGGGCCCCTTCAAGGATGATGAGGAGTAGGAGCAGAAGCGGGCGTC